GGGAGTTGGGAAGGGGAACTGTTTCTACAGAAGAACAGATCATAGAAACAGAACAAAAGCATCAACACAAAAGACGGAATTTTTAGAAAGTGTTTTAATCTCACAGGTGAGGAAAATAAATGCAAATCAAAACGATGGCATATTTTTAAACTATCAAGTTAGTTTTTAAAAATAAAACGAGGCTAGGGTGATGGCTCCATGGGTAAAGCACTTGCCACACTTGCCACAAAAGTGTGAGGCCCTGAGTTCAGATTCCCAGGCCCCATATTAACCAGATACAGTGGTACATATCTATAATCGTAGTGGCCCTACCCCAAGATGGGCGGCAAAGACAGGAAGCTCATGGGGCTAGCCTGGTGTACATAGTGGCAAACAAGAGACCCTGTCATAAAGAAGGTGGAAGGCAAGGGCTGACACATGAGGCTGTCCTCTGACTTCCACACACTCATCATGACACACATGCTCCTGCACTTACACACAAGTCCCAGCACCCACATGGTGGCTAACAACCATACATAACTCCACTTCCAGGGTGTTCTGGTTCGTTTCTTCATTGCTGTGACAAAATACTCTGACCACTACCAACTTGGGGAGGAAAGGGTTTATTTACATATCCCAGGTCACAGTTCATCCGGGAGCCCAAGGTAGGAACTCAGGGCAAGAACCTGGAGACAGGAGCTGGAGCACAGTCCATGGAGGAATGCTGCTTACTGACTTGCTCCCCTGGCCCCTGCTTAGCCTGCTTCTTATGCAACAGAGGCCCACATGCCCAGGGGTGGCACCACCCACAGTGGGCTGGGCCCTCCCACATCACTTATCAAGAAGATGTCCCTCAGACATGGCCACAGGCCAGTCCAATAGAGGCAATCCCGCAACTGAAGCTCCTTCAACTCAGGTGTGTCAAGTTGACACTAAGGCTATCCAGCACACAGGGGATTTGACGCCATCTTCTGACCTCTGTGGGCACTGCATGACATGGGTGCACTTACATGCATGCAGGCAATATATTCATATACATAAAATAAAAAAAATAATAAAGAACTTGAAGAACTTCCTTAAAAATAAATAAGGCTGGAGAGATGGCTCGGCAGTTAAAAGTACTTGCTGCTCTTGCAGAGGACCCGGGTTCAATTCTCAGCACCCATATGGTGGCTAACAACTATCTGTAACTCCAGTTCCAAGGGAATTGGATGCTCTCTTCTGATCTCCATGGGCATTGCATGACATGGATGTACTTATACACATGCAGGCAATGCACTCATACACATAAAATTATAAATAAAGTATTGTAAAATAAATAAATGAACAAGCCAAGCATGGCAGCACATGCTTTTAATCCAAGCTACTTGGAAAACTGTGGCAGGAGGGATTACAAATTCAGTCTGCGTTAGGCAATTTATCAAGATCCTGTCTCAAAGTGAAAAGAAAAAGAGAGGCTAGATGATGGCTCAGGGTAAAAAGCACTGGCTGCTCTTGCAGAGGACCCAGGTTTGATTCCCAGCACCCACAAGGTGGCTACAAACTCCTGTAACTCCAGTTCCAGGATACCTGATGCCCCCTTCTGGCCTCAGGTATTGCACTCAAGGGTGCAACTGCATAGGTACAAGTAAAACATTCATACACATAAAATGAAAATCAATCAAAAACACCTTATAATTTTAATTTATTTTATATGTATGACTGTTTTGCCTGTATGTGTGTAAAATGCACCTGTGTCATGCAGTGCCTGAAGAGGCCAGAAGAGGGCATCCGATCCCCTGGAACTGGAGCTATGGACAGTTGTTAGCCACCATGTGTGTCCTGGGTACTCAACTCAGGTCCATGGAGGCCGGACGAAGGTGGCATTAGATCCCACGGAGTTACAGGCAGTTATTAGTTTCCATACAGATGCTGGGAACAGAACCCAGATTCTCTGCAAGAGCACCCGGTGCTCTTAACAGCTGAGCCATCTCTCCAGCCCCATAAAACCTTATCTGTAAAATATTTTAGGGCCAGAGAGATGGTTCAGCAGGTAAGAGTGCTCATCACACAAGTCTATCTGAGTTCAGTCGACAAAACCCACAGTACAAGGAGACAACCAAGTCCCAAAAGTTGTCCCCTGGCCTCAACACACAAGCTGTAGCATGCACATGCTCCCATATGTTCACACAGTAATAAATCAATATTTCTAAAATTTAAAAATAAAGTTTTAAGGCTGGGAGTGGTGGTGCACGCCTTTAACCCCAGCACTCAGGAGGCAGAGGCAGGTGGATCTCTGTGAGTTCAAGGCCAGCCTGGTCTACATAGTGAGTTCCAGGACAGCTGGGGCTACAGGGAGACCCTGTCTCAAAAAGACGGAAAAAAAGAAAGCTTTAAAAACACAAATAAATCCTGGCGTGGTGGCGCATGCCTTTAATCCCAGCACTCGGGAGGCAGAGGCAGGAGGATCTCTGTGAGTTCAAGGCCAGCCTGGTCTCCATAGTGAATCCAAGACAGCTGGGGCTACAGGGAGACCCTGTCTCGAAAAGACCGAAGAAAAAAAAAAAAGGCTATGGGATGGTAGCCAATGACATGGAGGGCAAAGGGGGCCTTTGAATTCATTGATACAGGGCACATTCACTATGCTTGCTTTGAGTCCCAGAGGACCCGATAGCCTCTTCTGACCTCCATGGGCATTGCACGACATAGGTGCACTTACCTACATGCAGGCAATACACACACACACATAAAATAAAAATAATTTTTTTTAAAAAAGCATGAAAGAAAGAAAGAAATTAAGAAAAAGAGAAATTAAGTTGCTAGGTGAGGATTTATACCCAAGATTGTCCCCTGACTCCCACATGTGTACTGTGGTACACATATAGATGTACACATATACACATGACGTGCATAAATAAAGTCATTATAACTTCCTGTATGTAGATTTTTGTGTGACTATGCCTTTCTGAATTGTTAAACATTTAATTTTTTAAAATTTAGGGCTGGAGAGATGTCTCAGCAGTTAAGAGCACTGGTTCCCAGCACCCGCATGGTGACTAATATCCATCTGTAACTCCAGTTCCAAGGGACCCAACACCTTCTTCTGGCCTTCATGGGCACCAGACACACACATGATGCACTTACGTACATGCAGGCAAAACATTCATACATATAAAAATTTAAAAATAAAATCATTTAAAAAATATTTTATTTATTATTTTTATTTTATGTGTGTGTCTTGCCTGTGTGTAGGTAAGTGCACCCATGTTGTGCAATGCCCATGGAGGACAGAAGAGGCTGTCAGATACCCTGGAACTAGAGTTACGGACAGTTGTTAGCCGCCATGTGGGTGCTGGGATCTGAACCCAGGGCTTCTGCAAGGATAATCAGCCACCTCTCCAACCCATAAATTTTTTTTTTTTTTTTTTTTGGTTTTTTTGAGAAAGGGTCTCCTTTTAGCCCCAGCTGTCCTGGAACTCACTATGTAGACCAGGCAGGCTTCAATCTCACAGACATCCACCTGCCTCTGCCTCCCAAGTGCGGAGACTAAAGGTACGTGCCACCATACCATCTTTAAAAAATAAATAAAGCTGAGCTGGTGAGATGGCTCAGTGGTTAAGAGCACTAGCAGAGAACCCAGGTTTGGTTCCCAGCACCCACATGGCAGCTACCAACCATCTGTGACTCCAGTTCCAATGGATCCAGCGCCCTCTTCTGACCTCTGCAGGCATTGCATGACATGGGTGTACCTACCTTCATGCAGACAATACACTCATACACACAAAATAAAAATATTAAATAAAAATAATTTTAAAATAAAAAAATAATAAAACAACCAAGATTTGATTGCATTGAGACTAACTTTCAGGGAGAGGTCCTAGGCCTAAAAGTCAAAAGACCAGAGCTCTAGTCCCATCTCTGCTCTAAGTGGACACAAAAGCTTGGGGCTGGGCCTCAGATTCCTAACCAGTAATACGAGAGGCTTCAATGGAGCTGTGTTTTCCAAACATCAATCGTTCATAGATTTCATACATAGTTTTAACCAAATCTATATACTTTCTTTATGTAGCATCAGTTTTGGGGGGGACTGGAGAAATGGTTCAGTGGTTAAGAGCACTGGCTGCTCTTGCACTCATTCACATAAAATAAAATTAATAAATAAAAAATATTTTTTAAAAAATGTGTTCGGTTTTTAAGACTATATTTTTTCCTCTGCCTCCCGAGTGCTGGGATTAAAGGCGTGTGCCACCACGCCCAGCCTTGGTTTTTTATTTTTATGTCATACAAGTGGAGTGTTTTGCCTGCATGTATGTAGATGCACCAGTGTCATGCAATGCCCGCAGAGGCCAGAGAAGGCAACAGATTCCTTGGCTCTGGAGTTATAAATGGCTGCTAACTTCCATGTGGGTGCTAGGAACTGACCTCAGGTCTTCTGCAAGAGCAGCCAATGCTCTGTATCATCTCTCCAGCTCTCAATTTATTTATTTTTGAGACAGTTTCACTAAGCAGTCCCATAACTTACCATCCTCCCACTTTAGCCTTCTAAGCACTACATCATAGGATGTTAACCATTGCTTTTTTTTTAAAATGCTGGGAATCAAACACAGGACCTTACACGCGCTAGGCAAGTACTCTACAATTGAGCTACACCCCTAGTTCAACTTGTGCTATTGCTTTGAATGGGAGTAAGCAAAATATCGTCTACATTAGTCTATAATAATAATATTCTTCTACCGGGCGTGGTGGCACACGCCTGTAGTCCCAGCACTTGGGAGGCAGAGGCAGGCAGATCTTTGTGAGTTCAAGGCCAGCCTGGTCTACATAGTGAGTTCCAGGACAGCTGGGGCTACAGGGAGACCCTGTCTCAAAAAGGCCAAA